GTCTGAACAAAACTCTGGGGTTTCAGCGATGACTGATCTGAACGCCTCTGATTGGCTACTGCATTCCTAAACTCAACAGAATCGTGTGTGATTGGTTATAATGAGCAACGCTGTAAAAACGCGTAAAAATAAAATATGATGTAACATAAGCAGGTCTAAATGTAATACAGCAATCGAAACTTCATTCTAAGTATTAAAGTTTTATTGGAAAACCAGGGGACCCCCCAAGTATATTTTTTGGGGTGTTACAATTCGATCTCAATTCGAACACTGGAGTGTGTGTGTGTCTGTGTGTGTGTGTATCAGTGTGTGTGTGTGTGTGTGTGTGTCTGTGATTCTCACCATGTTCGGCTCTTGTCCCGGCTGACACTGTGGGCAGGGTTGGCAGCTGCTGATTGTGTAATTGTAAAATTCATTTTCTCCACAACTCAAGTATTCGGCACTCACAAAACACATGCTGGACACCTGCAACACACACACACACACATTTTAAAATACAAACACAAACTCACATTTGTGGCAGCTGTTATCTTTATGTATAGCAACTTGTTACTTCAGCTTTTTCAAGTTCATGTTGTCTGCTTATATAAGTACACTTGTGTATCAATGAGATCAAAGCTAACAGACATGAACTAAAGACACAAAACTATCAATTTGAAGGAAATCATCCAGGTCCAATTAAATGAGATCTGCATTTACACTTTACATTAGTCATGTTTCTGTATTCTGTGGCATACAGAAAGTCATGATTATATATATACATATATATATATAATGCTCTATAGTGTTCATTAGGTGTTTTAAGGTGTTCATAATGTACATTATAATTATAATGCATTATATCTTATATCTTTTAATAAACAATTGTAACCAAGGTTAAATAGATTATAACATTTGCATATTTGCATATTTTTTTGTTGCATCTGAAAACGGTTGTTTATCTTGTGTTTTAATGCATTATACTTTCTGAACAGCAACAGTGTTCAATGAACGGATACATATTATAATGTTTTATAACTGTGGTCACAATTATTTATGAGATCATACAATGCTTTATAATGTGCATATAATTAATGCATTAAAATACTTTTATAGCGCATTATCTATAAAGGTTTTAAGTATATGCATGACTGTTCAAGTGCATTCACAGCAACTTATTTGTTTAAAACATGCATATGCTTGTGCAATTTATGTTGTAGAACAAAACACAAAAGTCTCTTCTAGTGATTTTAACTACAGGCCTTATTTTACAAATCCAATGTTCTTAAAACAAAGAGGAAAACTTTGTCCTTCCAGGTTCACCTATAAACTTACATCAGTGTTTTAAACAAACAAACAAACAGCAGAAAGAAATATTTTCCGTCCATCTTCCCAGAAGAGAAGGACTAATATAAAGTGAAAGTGTGAAGGTGCTGATGTAATAAGGAAACGGTTGAGTGTAGGTTCAATTAAAGAATTAAAGCTGAGAACCACAAAGCATCTCATTCAGCCCGAGCCAATCAACATCCGGCTCCGCCCACTCGCTTAATTACATTCCTGCTTGAGTAACGAACCGGCGGAGAGCTGAAATGCCTGTGTGCATGTTGTTTCACCTCGATTCATGCAGTGAACATGATTTACGTCTGAGGAAATGAATGTGGAGAGAGACATGATGACTGTGAGTTTGGTTTGGAAGCACAATACGCTTGTGTGATTGTAATTAGATCACAACAGATCCGAATCATGCATCTGTTCTCAATCGCAGACACAATTACAAATGCACTGTAATGCAACAGACAAACCATGCATCATGTGCTGAATCAAACCTTTTGACTCATTTTGAGCTGCTGATTCCAAATAATAGTGTCTGCTTTGCTGCTTCACGTCACACTTTCGTCAAAAAAAAAGCTTATTTTGTGAAGTTCTTTGACATTAAATTTGTATTTGAAGATATTTTTCCACTCCTTTGAGGATTTATAGTTAAATTAAGCATTTGTGATATTATGATATGCACAATATGATTTATGATACATACATATAATTAGAATTTTTTTAATTTTGTGACAAATATTTGATGGATTTATTTTTTTCATTGATATTTTTGAACAGAATTGGGTAATATTTTTTATTTTTTTGCAAATCATCAGAATTAGAAAGAAAATGCAAACATGAGCCAGATGTTTATTATAATTAACTAAAACTAAAAACATATGTCACCTTGAAAAAATATGTTTTAATGAAAATAAAAATCATTTAGTTTAACTTGATTTACTAAAATAACTAAAACCAAAATAATAATGAATAAAAACTATATGGACATATTTAAAGAAAACAAAAACTAATATCAATGACAAAAACGCAACAAAAGTACTAAAACCTTAACTGAAATGAAAATGAAAAATGAAAATGTAAAACTAAAAATGTATTCAAAATATTAATAAAACCATAACAGTATCTCAATATGACACTAAAATAACATTGATTTGACTACATCCAAACAATGATAGAAAAATACAGATTTTGTGGAAAAAAGCTTATTTATAAACTTGTGTTTATGTAAAGTCCTTTGGCATTAAATAAGCTATTTTAATATATATTTTCCACTCCTTTGGAAAAATAGTACATTTAAAAAAAAAAGTGAAGTTTTTGACATTTGACCTCTTTTGTTCTAAGTACATTAATGCTGATACATATGCATAATAACTACATATACCTACTTATTTTGTGATTAAACCTACATGATGGGATGTTTTTAGTTATATTTTTAACTCAAAATCATCAAATTACAGTAGGTAATATCAGGCGTTTTTTGTCTAATGAAGATGCTTCACTTCTGCAAGTTAGATTATGAAGCGCACTGCATGCACCAGTAAACATTTGTCTGATTGTGTCTAACGTTGACTTGAGTTGGTTCTAGATCATTAGACGTGACATTACGGTGCTGTGAAGCAGCACATTTGCAGCCTTTTTTCCTGGCTCTATATATAGAGAATAATGCTCATTATGGAGCGGCAGCAGTTTTCTCTTCAACAAAGGCTGAATTGACACTGAGGGCTGATTTAGCCGTAATAAGCGGGATTACACAGATCTGCTCTCCAGAGCGTCTCACTCGCAGATAACCTGTCGTTTGAACATCTCACGGCTCTTTGGAAGGGCATTAAAAGCCTATCATTAAGACGCTGTGCAGAGAAATTACCTTCTGGGAACGCAGCCAGACAGATTTGGTGTTGCAAACACGAAGGAGGTGGGAGACGTGTTCAGAGACAGATTAACATGCGCTCAAAGACGCCTTTGTAGTCGACGTGGCCCGTGTTTGGATGGGCTGGATGAGGGACTTACCAGCAGAAGAGGCAGGAGGTGTGATCGTTTCCGTCCTCCGTTCTGGCCCATGTTGATGCTGTTGTTGTCTTCCACCTGAGGAGCTCTGAAACGAGAGCATGAACTGTGGGAATCGAGCGAAAAACGGTGTTCTTCCTCAGTATTTCTGTCTTGTTTTCCAGTACAAACATATAAACATTCCTAAATCAAGACACATTTACTCAGAATGAGAGTCCAAACAGCTGATAAAAACATCACAATAATCCACAAGTAATCCACAGCACTCCAGTCCATCAGTTAACATCTGGAGAAGACAAAAGTTGAAACTAATCCAGCATTAATCCAGCTATTTTGGACTCTCATTCTGACTGCACCCATTCACTGCAGAGCATCCATTGCTGAGACACTGATGCAATGCTACATTTCTCCAAATCTGTTCCTATGAAGGAAAAAAAAAATCTACATCTTGGATGGCCTGAGGGTGAGCACATT